CTGAGGCCCTGGGCCACTGCTTCACGCACTGCATCTGTTTGGTCTTCACGCATGGCTCATTTTACAGACGGGGCAATTGGGATTCACAGAGGTCAGACAAACCACGTAAGGCCACAGCTCGGACGAGTGGCTGAGTGGGAAGTTGGCCTAGGCAGGCTTGCGGCACCTACGGAAGCCCGTGTGCACCTCCCATGCCTGGATCCAGGCCAGGGAGTGGTGCATAGCGTGCGCTTGTCTATGGGCTGACTCCCGCCACCTCCTGTGGCAGGGATTTGTTCTGCCACACGAGGGGAAGTAGGAAGCTGGGGACGTGAGCCAGCAGTTGCCGTGAAGCCTCACGCGGAATAGTTTTCGGGATACCAGCCCTGGGTTTGGCTTCTCTTTCTGCCAGTTTCTTCCTACTCACAACAGCTGACTTCTCTGTTTCCCTGCTCCATTGCATATGGCTTCTGGATCCTCATGGCATCATCTGCTCGTGGCTTCTGCTCATGGCTTCTACTCAAGATTTGGTCCATCGCATTCTCCCTCCTTTTGGACTGCCTAAAAGGATTTGATCTACTCCTGTCTGGGCTCGGGTATCCCCACTGGGCAGTGCTACCCTGAAGACCACCCACGGGTTGCTGGCTGGCCTGCGGAAGACTGCTTTGAGTCAGGTGTTGGCCCTGGGTCTAGTCAGCCATGAGCAGGGCAGCAGGGTGTGAAGGGACTGTGTCCACGGTGGGCATGCACCGAAGCATGCCAGAGCCAAAACTTCATGGCAGGTTGACCTTCCAAGGAGCCATTGTATCCCTCTGGTTAATTGCAAAGGCTTTAGAGAAAGACAGACCTGAGACTGGGTCTGGGCTCTGCTGCTTATTAGTTGTGTGAATGTGGGGAAAGTATTTGATCTTTCCAAGGCTCAGTTTCTTCTGTTAAATGAGTATATTAGCTCCTGCCTCAGTTTGTAGAATGAAATGAAATAATGCCTGTAGAGCTCTGGGCATAGGGGACATGGAGGATAACTATTGATACTTCCATTGTTATTGTTAATAAAGTGAGCTCACTGCTCAGATTGAATGGAATTACAGAAATGTTCTTGTGGACAGAATTGCATAGTGCTTAAATACCTACATTCTAAAGGTAGCACACCTTTTTAAATCCTGATTCTATATGTACTGGCTGAGTTATTGGGGAAGTTACCTAAACTCACATCTCTAAAATGAAAACAATCTCTAACTCAGAGAATTAATGTGAGAATTACAAAAAAAGATAATAAAGTAAAGAATCCATACAAAGCACTTAGCACGGACCTGGCATGTAGTTGATAACTGTGCTGTGATTGTCATTACTCTTACCCAGCCTGCTGAGCATCCTGGCTGAGATGCAGGAAGTGTTAGGCTGAGATTTGATAATGAACTTTGTTTTTGACAATTCAAGTTCATCGCTGAGAGTAACAGAGAGTTGAATGTGTTTTTATCCCAACCGGCTTCATTGTATTAGTGTCTAGGGGCTTTAAGTATTAATACAATTATTTTTTTACAAAAGAAGAAAAAGAAGAAGAAAAAAGGCCTTCTTTTCCAATCCTAGACATGGGAATCCAAAGCTAAGTGATATTCTGATTCCCAGTGTGTGGCCCTGGAAGAATCCAGAGACAGGGAGGAACCTTGATTTACCTGCCACTAATCCCCACCATCAGCCCATAAATTCCTGGTCATGGGATGGGCCTTTGAGAGCTGGAGACAGGGTTAGGCTGACAACCAAAATAATGACTGTTACTGGAGCTGCTGAGAGCTTTGTTGCTGCCAAGAATGTATAAAGCCCCTCATTTTGGTATTGTATTGGAGATCTGAGATGTTTATACATAAGATGACAGCCACTCAATGCATTTCCATCTGGGGAATCGGATAATTAATCTTTAAAAAGAAAGTATAGATGTTGTTTTAAAGGCACAGTAGCAAATGACAGAATAGCAAGACCAAATAAATCTTACTTTTTGACAGCCTTGTAGGGCAGTGGATTTTGTGGGATTTTTATTTCTGTCCTGCCTGCCTCAAAATTGTTTGCTAACTGCTCCTTATCCTCTGTCTGCCTATTTTGCTGTCAGCCCCTGCCTTTAGAAGAATAACACAATCCAAAGGGGTCTTAAGTGACCTCAGCTCCTGCGTTGCTGTCGTCACCGTGCGTCAGGTGCTGTACTAAGCACGTCCCATGCGTTTGCCTCCTAAACCCGGCAGTGACCCTGGGAAAGAGTTTACTGCTGTCTCACAGGGAAGAGACTGGGACTTCAGAGGTGATATTAACATGTTCCAAATCCACACAGCTGGAAAGTGGCAAAGCCAGAAATCACATCCAATTGCTTGTGTGTGTGTGTGTGTGTGTGTGTGTGTGTATGTGTATGTGAATCCAAATCCTCTGATCCCAATACTAGGATATAGTTCTTTGTTCAACAAATGTTTAGGTGTTTAATCAACACCTGGCCCAGAATTCTTGACAGGCAATACCTGATGTAGCAAATGCTGTAAATACTTTGCCACCACCCAAAATATACCCACCCAATTTTGTCCCATCCAAACTATACCCACAGCTTCAGTGGACATTTCCCACACATACTGAGAGCTTTCTACTTCTTTCTTTCTCTGGGCTTTCTCTGGCCACAGAGTGCTCAGCTCCTCTGCAGAGCAGGCCAGAAGTACCAGGGACTCAACGCCCATAGGAGCAACTGTTTACCAGTGAGAGGCTGGTGTTAGTGGATAGACCAGCCTCTCTGGCGCCTGGGAGGGGACACTTCTGTTGTGCACATGTGTTCTATACAGTCTCTTAGAGGTTCCCAAGCAGAATTAAGCCCCAGTTTTTGCCCACAGCAACAACTTGCTCATCAACACTTCCTTTATTGGCTTCCCATTGCGGCTCACATTGGCCAAATAGGTGTTTTCCCTGGACTAACCCCTTAACGCACAAATATTATTGATTGACCACTGTTAATCAAAAATGATAGACAGTCATATGGGTAAGATGTTGTCCCCACTCTCTGAGATTTTATAAAGACACACACGCATACAATGGACACATGGCCATTGAGGGAGGCTACAGGAAAGATCCAGAAGAGAAATGATGGGGGCTTGGTGCAAGTCAGTGGCAGTGGGTGACGTGAAGTGGTTGGATTCTGGACATATTTGGAAAGTGATGCTAAGAGGATGTGCTGGCAGGCCAGGTGCAGGATATGAAGGAAAGACAAAAGTCAAGGATGTTACCAAAGTTGTTTTTTCCCTCTGAGCAACTGGAAGAATGGAATTGTCCTTAACTTAGATGGGAGAACTACAAAGAAGTGTTCATATTTAGGGGTAGAGAGGGCAGGTTTTAGGAGTTTAATTTTTGACGTGTAAGTTTGAGATGCCTATTAGTCATCCAAGTAGGGGTGCAGAGCAGAGAGCTGGAACACAAGCTGGTGTTTAGAGGAGAGGCTAGGACAGAGATACAGATTTGGGAGTCAAAAGTATGTGGATTGGGGAATATGTGAGGTTGTGGAAAGAGTCTCTGATCCCCAGGAGAGAAGCATCGAGTGGAGGAGACAGACTTACTGAGTCATACGTAAGTCATCTGAGACCATGAGAACGCTGGGGAAGGGAACTGCAGTGAGCCCCGTTTGAGGGACACAGAGATGTGGCACATTCTGCCCTACAGCAGCTTCCAGTGTAAAAGAGAAGGTTTGGCTGCATACAGACGGCTACAGTAGAAAGTGCGGTAGTGAGAGGGGTATAGGGAACAGCCGCAGAGAGTGCAGGTGGGAGCAGTCACTGAAGGCTGGGGAGCGTGGTGGCCAGCTCCATGAAGGAGGCTTTTGAGCTGAACCATGAAGGACGTGCAGAGTTTTGACTTTCAGAGATTAAAAGAAGAGGAGCATTCTAATTAGTACACAAAGAAAGAACATGCCCAGGTACTCAGGAAACAACCAGAAGCACAAGGTAATAGTGAGAAATAAGCCTAGAGAAGGAGGCTGGGGTCCGATCATGAAGGGTATTGACTGTCAAGGGAAAGAGTTTGGGCTTATCCTGGGGGCAGTGAGAAGCCACTGAAGTCAGTGAGTGACGTGGTTGGAGCTGTCCCTTAAAGCAAGGTGTTCTTCAGGACAAAGGGGCAAGAGATGGGAGACTACAAGACTGGTCAGGAGGACTTGGCAGGAAGGAAGGAGAGGACGAGGTGGGAGGGAAGACATTTAAGGAGAAATGCAATTTGACAACAGGGACCAAAATGTTAGATGTGCATGGCATTTGCCCAGTATTACTACTTGGAAGAAAATACAGGAGGAGAGGTGTATAAAGCAAGAACAAGATATACCTGGAAGAATGATCACTGGAGCATTGTTTATGGCAGAGAAAGCTGAGAAACAACAAAAAGGTTTATCAATGAGAAACTGATTAAACAAACCGTGATACAGCTGTACAGTGGAATGCTCTTCAGTGATTAAAAAAGATGTTGTGTGTCTACATTCATTGGCATGAAAGAAGCACATACAATTTATTGTTGAGTAAAAAAGACAGGCTGTGAAATAGCATTTATCTGATAAGCCTATTTATCAAAATGATATCCTTAAAATATCATCCATGTATATATGTCTAGGGAGACCTTTGAAATTATGTTGATCAAGATGCAGATGGCAGTTTTTGCTAGATGATAGGATTTGGTGGCGTGTTGTTTATTTGTTTGGGGAGGGACCATTTCTCTTTAGATCTATTCTGGATGACATGAATCTTCTGCCATAGACTTGTAATATCTTAAACATAAGACAATGCAAATTTTCAAAAAGAAGTCAAACAGTTCTTGAATTCTTGCAAGGCAAATAGCCCCAGGTCTAGAGTGTGAGCAGTTGTTAATCCATATTATTATAGCTGACCTCTCCAAAGCAGTGTTTGCTCTTTGAGCCTCTCCCAGAAAGAGGTTAAAAGAATTTCAGGCCGGCACGGCGGGGAAGGAGCCTGAGGGAGCACGCTCAGATGGACTGGTAACCATCTCCCCTCTTCCAGGGTCTTCCTGAGAGCGATCAACAAGTTTGCAGAAACCATGAACCAGAAGTTCCTGGAGCACACGAACTTCGAGTGCCAGGTGAGTGTGGGCACCAGGGCTGCTCCCGCGTCTTGGGCTGAGGGCTCCATCGGATACGTCCCAAAGCCCATGGCAGGTGTGCCAGTGTCCCTGAGGATTTTCACAGAGGGGTGTGGATGGGGAGGGAAGTTTCAGGCTTTGCAACCAGGGCCTCAATTAAGCAGGCATCAACAGAGCAACATATGCAAATGTGACTGCATAACGGATCTTGTGCCAACACGGAGACTTGCATTCATGCACTGTCAGGATGGGCGCCATCTTTTAACAAGGTATCACCATTTCTTAACTTTTCTGTTCACTGAAGCCAAAACAGCAGCCAGCCATAGACATTGAAAAATGATTTATAGTAAAGCTCCCAAGTACATCTTTGTGACTTCCTGATTCCTTCAAAAGTCATTTTGCGTCCTTAGCCGAGACCTGGGGTCTCTGAGACTCAGGCGCCTGGAAGCATGTCCCTGGGGCACACAAAGTGACGCACCTGCCCCTGGGTCCAGACCCAAGAAGGACAAACTCTTCAAAGCCTGTGGGAAAATCCAGATTGCTGTTTCTGGCTGGAGGTGTGAGAGAGAAGGCCCCAAAAGGGGATCCCCTCCAGGGAAGTCCTCGAGCCCCTAATCTCTTGCAGCGGGGCTTAGGGAGTAGCAGTCCCTGCGCCTGGTGAATGGGATGATGGTGTTTTCTGCTGCCCCTCTAAGGTGCTCAGTTCCCAACTGTGCTTTCGCCTCTCACCAGCTGAGCACCTTCGGGCAAGGCCTGGACAGTGACCATTCCTCAGGTGATTTATCTGTAAAATGCCAACAACAACGATCCTTTCTACTTCATTGGGTTTTTTCCCAGCACTAGAATTTGCCAAGGGGCTTGCTGGGAAAATCGACTTGTAATATCCCGCTAGTTTCTGTTCAAATATTTCCTCCTTAAAGAGGCCTCCCCGGCCTTGCTCCTCTCTGGGGATCAACCTCCCCAACCCCAGGGTCATTATGCATCACTGCTTGGCCTCTTGGTGTCTCTTCATAGCACCAAATGTCATTTGATACCGTCTTTCTGGTCTCTTTCCGTGCATGTTTGCTCTCTTTCCTCCAGTAGAACGTGAGCCTTGTGAGTGCAAAGACCTTGAACTCACAGCACCTTGATGCTGCGCCCAGCACACAGTTGGTCTCCTCATGGAGGGGACGTCTGGGCTGAGGCCTGTGAGATCTGCTGGCAGCTCCAACCTGTCAGTACTTGCTAAGCTGAAAGGATGAGCGTTATCTTTGCGCAAGGTTCTCTTGCGTGACCCTGCATTAAATCAGACAACTGAACAACAGTGAAAACGATGATGAAATGAGTAGCTGCCATTGCCTGGTGGCTTACACATACCAGATCGCACAAGAAGCACTTTCTCAGTCCTTATAGCCACCCTACAAGTTAGCCGCTGTGACTGATATTTTTTTCTGCTCCAAGGATGCAGGGAGTAAGACTCAGAGAGGATGAGTAGATAGCCTGAAGTCACACAGGGCGTCAGTGCAGAACTGGGACCAGAACCCAACAGTGGCTGACACCAAGGCCCACGCAGATGACCACGGCCACATGCCAGACGTGGAGTTTGCCATTGCATTGGGCTGCCTGCCTGGCACAGTCTGGGCAAGAGTTTCTCCCAGCATTATAAATCTTCGATGTGGGAATGAAACATGTTTCTTTAGCTGTTTCGAATCAGGAAAAATATTTGATTCCCTTCCATGTGGCCCAGATGCCTGCAGACTCTGGTTCCGGGCACGCTCAGGGAAGTTAGAAAGGCCATTGCTTTTTTGGAGGGGCAGCTTGGAACAACATACCTAGGAGCCAGCAGTGGCAGCGTGAGGGCCATAAAACTGCAAGCTGGTTTGTTCATTTCTTCCTGTGGCCTCAGCAGTTGCAGCCTGGGACCTGCTTTCCTGAGGCCGGCTCGGCTCCATGGTCTTGGGTGGGAATGTTCCAAGAGAAGCTCAGCTTCAGTCCCTCACGCCATTCCTTTAGGTTTTATCCTGTTTTCCTGAAAGAAAACCTGTATCTGGGAGATGCCCAGAGATTGGGGGTTTCATACTTGGAAAGTTCAAGCTCATGAATTGTGCGACTTTAGGCAAATTACTTCACCTCTATGTGCCTCAGTTTCCCCAACATTGAATTAAGATATTAATGGTAGCTATGTCATTGGGTTGTTGTGAGGATTAGATGAATTAATTCATGTAAAGCACGTAGAACAGTGGTAGGAACACAGTAGCCATTTAATAAATGTTAGCTCATTATCATAATAGTAATTGTTAGCATTTTGATGGTGACAATGATGAAGATGGCCCTAAATGTATCAGGGCTGGGAACTCGTGTCAGTCCTTGATAAACAGTAGGGAAGGCATCTATCTGGTCACCCACACTGTTGCCTGGGGCTATCATCACTCCAACAAGATTCTATAAAGCAGGAGAATGGCCAACATCACAAAATAAACAAGTCTTGTTTTCTAATGAGGCTTCCATAGATATTTATTGAAAAGTACCCGAGAACAGGATCATTTTTCAACCTTATCTTTGTTCTCCTCCCTTTTTCTCCCCTCACCACGTGAGAATGGATTTGTTCTCTGTACCCTGCCTGGAACACGCCTTGTCTCCTTCTTACGCTTTCATTAATTATGCATTTAATATCAGCAGGAACAGCATCCATCACTGAGTGCTGCCTGTCTTGGCAGCCACTGTCCAGACGAGGGGCAGGTGCAATGAGATTATCCCTAATATCTTTTCCGGAACTGTGGTTTTGTGATTCAAAGGGCAGAAAGCAAGCCGCTCCCTGGGTGCCCCTCTGTAGGCGACAAGACCTGGGAACTGGGAAAATGGTGTTTCCTGCTTGGGGCTAAGATCATTTGCATTCCTGGGCCCTATTCAGCATGCTGGGCCTTGGTGTTTGCCTCTATTACTGTGGTCAGAGAAGACCAGAAAGGATTTCAAATTTAACTTGGCAAGGATTTTTGTCTAAGAGCAATTGTCATGGGTCCAGGCCATTGCAACATCTTTGAGGAATTCCGAAGCAAAGCAGAATACTGCCCTGCCCTCTAGGATCTTGGGATTTTGATATAAGGCTATACAAACCCATTTTCTAGCACCCAGGCTTTTGAAGAAGGTGACGAACCTTTATTGGGCATCTATGTAGAGAACCTTGATCCTCTTCATAATCCTGTTCAGTTGGGATATACCCATTTCCCTGGAGAACAAACTGAACTTCAGCTGACGTTTCTGTTAAAGTCATCTATTAATTCAACCCCAAGCCTGTCTGCAAAGGCCATCCTTTTTCCACTTTTCTGCTCTGTCTCTCGGAAATGGGGTGCCTTTGGATGCTAGGAGACAGGTCTGTTTACATCTGGAAACACTCTCTGCCCTTGCTAGTTATTCCTGATCGAGAGCTCTAAGATAAGTCACCATAGGATTAAAAACTTGATGTTGAAAACTCTGATTGGGCCTGGAACCAGTGCTTATGTTTAGGCTCCAGGGCAGCTCTGTGATTGGTAATGAGATCATTCTCTCTGCTTGGGAAGCTCTAATTGGCTCCGGGTAACTTCTAGGCACCAGGCCCATCCAGGGACCATTTTTGAACATGCATTAACGATCCCGTGAAATGAAAAACTTCCAGAATATTCCCAGCCATTAGTGGAGGAATGAGGGCCAGCTTTGTCTTCATAATGGGAAATGTAACCAGTGATGCCAAGAACAGGTGAGGTCACCAAAGCCTTGCAGAGGCCCATAGCACCGCCACAGGGGATGCACGGTGGCATGGCTCCTCTAGGCAGAAAGGCAGCCATGCTTGGGGACTGTTTCCCCAGCCCTGCCTGCTTCCGCTTTTGGGCCCCAGACAACCTCTGGTCTGATGTTCCTAGCCTGAGTCCACACCTGGAACCTTCCTCTCCCAGACCCAACAGCGTCCCCAGAGTGGGCATGGCAGCTGTGCCTGCTCACCTCAGAGCAGGGCAAGCTGACTGCACGCCAGCGGCAGCGCGTGCTAGGGTGTTTTCTATTTGGAATTTGGGGTAAATAATAATTCAAGCTTATTGAGAAAGAATCCCATGAGATCAAAAATCCATAATCTCTCTGCTATAAAGACTATAAAACATCAGATGAACCAGCAGACACGTTAATCAACGGCAAAGGCTGAAGGAAACCAAGAGAGGAGAAGAGGGATTTTAGCAGAAGAGCAGGGTAGTGAAGAATGCAAATCTTGAAGTCAGATAAACTCGGATTCAAATGCCATCCACCTTTGCCATTTTGCAGCTGTGCGACCTTGGCAAGATATTTAACCTCTGCAGGCCTCAGTTTCCTGATCTCTAAAATGGGGAGAATAATAACACAAATCTCGTAGTCCCTTAGGAAGATTTAACAAGAATGCATGCCGAGTGCTTGGCTCATTAATGAACTCACTCAACAGATATTTCTAGAGCACATGCTGGGTCAGGCTCTGTGTATATCACAGAGAATAAAAAAATGAAGTCCTTGACTGCATGATGTTTACATCCAGAAAATAAATTAATTTTGTTTAAAATATGTCGTAAGTGAGGGTGAATAAGGGGTGAATCTACTTTAGTCTGAGTGATTGGGGAAGGCTTCTCCTGGAACTGATATTGCAAGACTGAGTAGGAGTTTACTAGACAGTGATTTACTCAATTAGTCCTTATAACCACACCCTTTAGATACTATTAGCTCCATTTTCTAGGTGAAGAAACTGAGACTCAAAGAGGTAGGGTAACTTGTCCATGATAATGGAGCTGGAAGGCAACCTGACAGCATCTATGAAAACAAACAACAAAGGTAATAAGCAAATAATAACAAAACCAGTGTAGACCCTGTGACTTAGCAATTTCAGCTCTAGGAATGTATGCTACAAATATAGTTTCCCATGCATAAAGATGTTTAAATAGGGTGTTGATTACAGCACTCTTGCTAGAGAAAAAAAATTGGAATCAAGTTAAATGTCTATAAATAGGGGATTGGTTAAAATTAAAGTACATCCTTATAGCAGAATACAATGTAGCAATAAAAGAGAATGAAGCAGATCTGTATATGCTAATATGGAAACATTTGTGAGATATATTAGTAAGAGAAAAAAGCCAAGTACAGGAGACTATTAAAAAATGTCTATACATATATTTATACGTGTAAAATTTCTGAAAGTATATCTAAGAAATCATTCACATTTTCCTCCGGGGAATTTTACTAGGGTCCTACATAAGATGGAAAATAACTTTTATATTTAATCTTTTCTATCATTTAATTATTTTAAAATCATGGGTATATATTACTTTTATAATTTTGTTGAAAGTTAATTAAAGATAACTGAATTCTCATTAGACCCCCCAGCTGTATGACTTTGGGTGGTCTTTTAACTTATCTGCACCTTATTGTTTACATGTATGAAATACAAACGTTGGACCAGATGACCCTTAAATTCATTCCAATTCTAACTCTCTATTGTCCTATGATTTCAAAATATTGAATTCCCAAACAGAAATCACCTCACTTCTTCTCCAGGGCAAAGAGATCCGTATGCTTTGCTAAAGAGACCCTGTGGCTTCTCTTAGTCAGCTGAGCTAGGCACTTAGCATAAACACCACCAGACGGCTTGTCGCAGGGCAGAAAGAAAAATCCGAGACCTTTTGAGGCATTTCTCTGACAAAATGGCGATCAATAAATAAGTATTTTCTGGAGCCCAGCTGCATTCAAGCCATTGTGCTGAGTACCGCGTTAGGGATATAAATAAATGGAAGATGGGACCCATGGTGCTTGTGGAGCTTACAATTGGAGAAGACAGGGCATACAAGTACTCTGCCACCAGTGCCACCACCAACACCACCGTTCCATTTACTGAGCACGTGGTATGTGCCACGCCTGTGGTAGCTTCCCCTTATTTCAGCCAGTACTTATAACAGTCCTTTGTGGTAGTTGCCATTACTTTTGCTGTTTTGCAAGTGAGGAAATGAGACTCGCAAAGGTCAAGTAACTAGCCAAAGGCGACCCAACTAGTAAGCAGAACTGGTTTTCATACCCTGGTGTGCAAGATGCTGATGCACATGCTCTTGACCACTGGAGGATGCTTTTGCAGAAGTGAATGGAGCAGGAGGCCGCGTGCAGAACAGTGAGTGGACTGAAATCTGTAGTGGCACACAGCAAGGGCTCCTCAAATTAGGAAGAAATCAGGCAGATTTAATGTGCTCTGTAATCTGGGAAAGCTTCACGAAGGAAGTGAGTCTCGAATTGGGCTTTGGTGGAAGAATAGGACACAGAGACTTCAGATATGAGAGCCACCGTGAGCAAAGCCATGGAGACCAAAATGCTCCTGGGATCTCCGTGTAGTCTGAGCAGACCCACGATGGACAGTTTATTGAAGGAGAAAACACTGGAGTCTGAGGAAATCATATGCGGCCTTCAAAGCCAGGTTATACATTTGGTCCTAAGTCTTTGGAAACAAGAGTCAAGGAAGTTTTGGGGCTGAAGCATTAAGAGTGTCCAGTAATATCTAGTTGTGGCCACTGCTCGCCTCTCAGGACATTGCACAGAGCCACTGACTGTGACAACCTCCTCTCAGTTCCAGAGTCACCCCCACAGGGCTCCATGGGCAGGGCTGGGCAGGGGCTGTAGCTGAGACTTAGGTGTGCCGTTTCCGAGCCACTAAGATGAGGCACAGCTGTAGCCTCAGGGTCCACAAAGATTTTCCAGGAGGGGAGCCTTCTCCTCCCAAAAAAACACAACAGGTCCACTCCCAGGTATATACCCACGAGAATTGGAAACCTATGTCCACACAAAAACTTGTACGAGAGTGTTCGTAGAGCATTATTCACGGTAGTTAAAAAGTGGAAACAACCCGAATGTTCATAGATGGATGAATGGATAAACAAAATGTGTATTCATATGATGGAATATTATTTGGCAATAAAATAATAAAGTACTGACACGTACTACAACATGCATGAACCTTGAAAACATTACACTAAATTTAAAAAGTCATGCCTAAAAGGTCACATATTGTATGATTTTATTAATATGAAATGTCAGGATAGGCAAATCCAGAGACGGAAAGTAGATTAGTGGTTGCCAGGGACCGGGGGGCGGGGGTGAGGGGAAAGCAAGGGGGCCTGACCGCTGGTGGGTAGAGGCTTTCTTTTTGTGGCGATGAAAATGTTCCAAAATTAGAAAGTGATGATGGTTAAATCACCTTGTGAAGATACTCAAAATCACTAAATTGTACACTTTTAAAAATTTTATGGTATGTGAATTCTGTCTCAATAAAAAAATAAGAAAAGGCCAGGCACGGTGGCTCACGCCTGTAATCCTAGCACTCTGGGAAGCCGAGGCGGGTGGATCATTCTGAGCTCAGGAGTTCGAGACCAGCCTGAGCAAGAGCGAGACCCTGTCTCTACCAAAAAATGGAAAGAAATTAATTGGACAGCTAAAAATATATGTAGAAAAAATTAGCCGGGCATGGTGGCGCATGCCTGTGGTCCCAGCTACTCGGGAGGCTGAGACAGTAGGATTGCTTGAGTCCAGGAGTTTGAGGTTGCTGTGAGCTAGGCTGACGCCACGGCACTCGCCCCAGGCAAGAGAGTGAGACTCTGTCTCAAAAAAAAAAAAATAAGAAAATCAGAAATGGGGAGACAGAGAAAACGCTTTTTTGAAGGGCTCATTCAGGCGGAGCAGAGTCTAGTGAGAGGCTCACTCATATTTTACACGTGTTATATACTGGGGAGCATTTCTGAAATTATTCTCACAAGTGGTGGCAATTTGACTTGCTTTGTCAGATATCTATTTCCTATGGTAACCTTAATACTCTGATGCACTCCCCTGAAATCAGAGATTTTTCACTTTAAAAACACTCATTTCCATGTCCTGTGGCCATGGTTTTCTCTTTCCCTGGCTTGTGGTTTCATATCCTGGTCTGAGATGTGAGAAGGTGTGAACTCTGGGCACAGGCGGACCAGAGCAGCACATTTTCAAAGCAAGGCCCGGAGAACGTGCCCAGTCACGGGGCACCTGCAGGAAAGGCAGTCTGAGGGATGTGGACGGAGACCCCACCTGCAGCGGGTGTTTGGAGGTTACTACGGAAACAAAGGGACTTGAGTCTGAGGGTTAGGGAAGCCTCGGGAGGGCTTTGTGGAAGGCCCTGGGAGATAAAGGTCCCAGTAAAGGCAAGCATATTCACTCAACAAAATGCAGCCAGCACCGGGGCAGACATCGCTGTCTGCGTAACCACCGCCCTGTCAACACACGATGGCAGTGCCTGGGCACTTAGAAGACGTTCCAGAAATACATGTCAGATGGCTCCTCAGCTGAAGACTGCCCATGGCATGCCGAAAGAGCCCGAAACATCAGTCAGAAGACCTCAGTGCAAATCCCAGCTCTGCTGTGTGTGGAACAAGCTGAGTGATCTTGGGCAAAATACTTAACCTCGCCAAGCCTCAGTTTCCTCATCTGTAAAACAGGAACATAAGTGCTATCGAGTTTTGAGAGATGAAAGGAGAGATGTATGGAAAAGTGTAGGGCCCCTGGTAAAACCAGTGTGTTTTGCTTCTTTCTGAAACTGGAACCACAAGCCCATTTGAAAGTCACGCTCCCAGCAGCAGCGATGACATTATCAATGGTGGGGTTGCCTTTTTGCTAGTCTTGGCCATCTGCAGACTCTGATGGACATCTCCATTGAGATGGAGGTCTCGATGTCTGTGTGATTTCTCAGCTAATGTTACCCATCCTCTTGCTAGGCAGTGTTGAGAGGGGCCCAGGTGGGCTTGTTCAGCAAGCCTGCTCCTTGCAGGGCTGTGGCACGTTGCAACAACTGCCCTTGAGTACCCAGGGACCTAGGCTCTACCATTGGGATTGGTACCAAGGGCCCCACTCGAACAGTGAACAGAACAACGACGGTGAGGCTAACCGATATTTCTGAGACCTTACTGTGCTTCATGCCCTTTAAGCACATCATCTCGTGTCACCTTTATCACAACCTTCTGCAGTGGGGACCAGAGTTATCTCAGTTTTGCAGACAGGTTCCCTGAGACTCCACAGCACCTTGATTTGGACTTACATCTCTCTGGTCTGTCACCTGTATCGGTATCACCATCCCTGTGGCCAGTCTTCTCGGGCACGCGCCGTGGGCTGACTCCTTTATCTGCTCTCGTTGACTGCAAGCTGGTGGAGCGGGTTCTAGTATTAGTCCCTCACATTTAGCACCAACAGATCACATACCTGTGAAAACTGTGATGAGCCTACGCATAAACTGGGTCCGCAGGGGTCCCACCTGCAGCAAGCAGCAGAACCGCCTGGAGTGCCTGTTACCTGCATGTTTGTTTCCTGGCCTCACCCCCAGAGCTTCAGATTCAGCAGGTCTGGGCAGGGGCCGGAGAATTTGTATTTCTAAGAAGTTCCAGGTGCTGCTGCTGCTGCTGCTGCTGCTGCTCCTGGTCTGGGCACCACACTTTAAAACCATTGAGGAAAAGGCAAAATATTTTAAGAGACGATGAATTACAGGCTGGTCCTCTGATCTGTCAGGTGAATGTGGGAGAATTTCCAGAGAGGCTGTGGGTCCCTGAACTGCCTTATCCTCCATCACCCTCTAATTCCAGGGCAGGAACCAGCTCACTGGGCACCCAGCTGGGACGAGTTATTTGTCTTCAAAAAAACAAAACAAAGCACAACAGTGACAAAAAATAGCCGTAAAATTCTCCTCCTTGCCCACATCCTGTTGTCTGAGAGTGGACATGATCAGCGCCTAGAGAAATCCATCCATTGTCCTCGCTTTGGCCAAGATGTTAATTTCAGAGTCAGTGCCAGTGAGGAAATTGCAGTGGGCACAATTAAACGGGTCGCGCCTCTCTATTCTGCTGTCTTCATAAATTATTCACATCACCCAGCACTTAATATGCCTTCCCACTTCAGGCCGTCTCTGTAACCGTCTCTGCTCTTTCACTCACAGCTGTGGAACAACTATTTTCATCTGGCGGTGGCTTTTATCACTCAGGATTCTCTGCAGCTGGAGCAGTTCTCGCATGCCAAGTACAACAAAATCCTGAATAAGTAGGTTGCATTTTTGGATTTCCAGAAGTGGGGTTGGGTTTATGAGATGCTCTGAGACGGTGCCTGAAGCAGAGGCTTTTGTTTGTCCTAGGTACGGGGACATGAGACGGCTCATTGGCTTCTCCATCCGCGATATGTGGTACAAGCTTGGTGAGTAGGCACGTGCATCCAGACAGACACACCTGCACCCACCGCGCTCCTCCGCAAAGACCATCTGTTAGAGGGCCACGGGGGTCTCAGCGGTGGGAGCTGGAAATAAAAGTTTGTCATTGTGCACACCCCTGGTCCTTAATACGTACCTGATTGTACTTAGAATGACGGAAGGGCTCACCCCGCCTCAAGCTCAACCTCTGCTTCTGCTCTACCCCTGAGGGCTCACAGAGTCAAACTGGCATTTACAAGAGGGAGCAGGACTGCTGTGGGGACTCACGTGCTCACACGTCACACGAAGGCTTGCTGCCGATTGGTGGGTCACCCTGCGTCCTGCATGTGATGTGGTCCACAAAGCGTCCTCCAACCTCGTGGGGGAGAGTTGGTTCTCTGAAAGATGCGAGGGTCTTTTGAGCTAAAAGGAGACCTGATAAAGCTGTCCCTGCCTCAGTGAGCTAAAGGAATCTTGTATGATTACCTGAGTGATACCCAGTGAGGGAGGGACGGGACCAGGGTGACGTTTATTGAGAGTCTGAGTCAGGCCTGTGCTAAGGAGATCTTATTTAATCTTCACATCACTTTCTGCAAGACAGAAAAATTTCCCCTCCTTTTATGTATCAGGAAACTCAAGAGAGGGAAGCAGCTTGCTTGAGGTCAAACAGCTGGAAGTCTCAGAGCACGGTTTTGATCCATGAGGACAAGGACCATAAACCTTGCCCACAGGCCGGATCTTCCTCCATAAATACATGCTGAAAGGATGAGTGGCTGGATGGCTGGATGGCCAGTAATGAATATTTTATTTTTGTGCTCCCTCCTTGACTTTCTGATGTTGAATTGCTGTCCCCAGGGCTTGGCACAGTTGACCCTCCTCAGCAGAGGCACTTACAGGGACTGACTGGGCCCATCTCTCGGATTTAACCTTCCTTGCCTCCCAGACTGTGCTTCTTGCTTCCCCAGACCCCTTCGTGTCTACCAGTCCAATCAGCTTTTCCAGACAGCAGCGGCTTGCCCTTTGCAGCAAGTTCCATCCACTGTGGGGGGAGCATAGCACAGTGGGCAGACTGCCAGTGTGGGTTCTGTGAGTGCTGGTGGCGTCAGACTCCACCTAGAGTGCATGCTGGATAACAGAAAGGTTGTGGGTTGGCTCACAACGTCCAAGGCAGAGCGGAGAACCCAGGCCCAGAACAGACTGCCGCATCTCTGCCTTGGGCCTTGCCCTGACGTTTACACACTATGAAGCCTAAAGCAAGGGGACCTGGCATCGCTGGGCCATAGTTGGGGAAATAGCACCTTCTCATGGTGCTTATGAGGGTCATAGGAGCAAAAGTGGGGGAGTGCAGCCATGGAGGCCACTGCACCCATACTGGAGTTTTTATTATTAGTCTCACCTTGCCCACGAGGATGGAACCTAATTTTCCTGCTCTGGCTCCTTAATCATCAAAGCTGGGCCCGTATCACTAGGGACTGAAGAGCCGGGCTCAGGCAAGTGATGTAAAAGAGCAAAGTCTGGAGTGTGTTAAACCCAAAGAAATTCTGTAAAGCAGGTACAACATTTGGGGTTGGGTGATTCTTTGCGGTAGGGACTGCCCTGTGCATTGCAGGGTATTGAGCTGTCTCCCTGGCCTCCGCCCTCTAAGATGCCAGTAGCACCCTCCCTGGTCGTGATGACCAAAAAAGTCTCCAGACATTGCTAAATGTTCCCTGGGCAGAGGGGTACCACCTCTGCCCTGTTTTTTCTAGAAAAGCGTGTCTTTCTCAGGCTACCTTCAGTTTGTCCACTTGTGTAAGGACTAGGATGTAAGAAATACTTTGTTTCATCTACCCTTGCTTTGTGATGGAGAAACGCAAGCACAGGCCTATGTGGTAGCCAGCACCCAGCCTCGGGGTCAGGCAGACAGGAAGGAGTAGATGCCTGGAGCAGAGTGAAGAGGAGACACAGCTGCTGTTCCTCTCCAGCTGATTGCTGTCCTCCTAAAACATGAGCCCATGTTGTCACACCTTGCGGTTTTTCAAAAGAAGCCAGGAAACTGGGTTTTTCAATGCATATTCCAGTTTATGAATATAATCATAACCAATTGAAAGTTGTCAAAATGTTGAACGTGACCAAGGAAGGGATGGAGCCCAGATTCAGTTCTCCTCTGAGTCTGCGTTCTCGCTCTACAGTAGCAGAGACGGATAAGCCGCAGTGGGCTTCCTTCCCAGCTCCACACCCAGGCATTGCCAGAGCTGGAAAACAGGGACCTGCACTTTGTCACAGTGCTTCCACACAGCCTGCTCTTTTCTGAATGTCCTTTGTTGCCATTGTTTTGCACACAGAAGATTTTACTTAGATATAGATTATGTTTTGGGAGGCGTTCCTGCACTGCCAATTATGCTGATGAATGAAAAGATGTTACCAAATATTCCACCTGCTTAGAATTACAGAATATCAGAGCTGGAAGGGCCCTTTAGAGATCATATTGTCCAGCATTTTTCAGACATTTATTTTCAGCTGAGGACCAATAAAAAAAAAATCTCATGCATGATAAGTAAATTGGATGAAAGCAGAGCTATTCTAATTGAAGTGAGGTGGGGGAGCTCACAGCTTATTATGCTGGGCTGCTCTTAAGCGCCCCATGTAGACCCCTGAGGGTTTTGGGGGGAAGTGCTGAAGCACTCTGAGAATAGTTGGAAGCTACTGGTCTGGTCCAACCCACCATTCTACCAGTGAAGGAACCGAGCCCCAGAGAGGAGAAGGAGTTTGTAGCAGATCATTTAGTGGGTTAGAGGCAGAAACCGGACAAGAGCCCTGGCCAGAGTGTTTGCTCTGACGCATCAGACTCCTTGCTGTTTACAAATACCTAGGATGAGTAAATGAAGTTAAAAGATATGTCTGTCAGGGTGTGGGGGTTGGTTGCAAGAAAGAGGCATTAGCTATGGCTGCCTTAATCAGAGAAGGTATGTGTTGGGAGGGCCAGGAGGAACTGAAGAACCAGGCCATGGAAGGACGGGGTCCAGAGCCATTCTGGGATCCAGAGAAGATGGTGCAGCCTCTGGCATTGCCTTCAGGATGCTCCACCCCTTTGTCATCCTGCTAACGATCAAGTCTCCTAAGAACACCATTCTATTGGCCTTCCTTGGATGACCTCTAATGTTTCCACCAAACCTACATCCATTGTGGGAGGTAGAGTTTCCTAAGGCAAAATCCAGGAAGATAATATCACTGGAAGAAGGAGTTATGGACAGAGGTCAAACAAACACCACAGATATCCACTCCAGACAGCAAGAAGCAAAGGATGCTTTGCAAAGATGGTCACCCCCTCACCTCTTGGCCTGGCTTCTGAGGAAGAGGAAAGCATATCCACCTGAAGTGGTTTCCATGGCTGCACCAGCCTTCCACTCACGGGTTCCATGGCTGCCTTCTCCTTGCCTGTCTTCCTCAGGGAAAAGAGAACAGAAAGCGGAAGCAGAAGAAATGGGCAGTTCCCCCATTGCCACCCCACCCTGTGCTCTATGGGATGCCGCCATTAGCTTGCTTTCTCCTAGCATGCTAATGACATTACCTGGATAATCCAAACCAAGACTAAACACTGTGTACATTAGGAACCAGTGTAGTGAGACCACTACATTGGCTAATGATAGATTTTAAAGTGCAATTCAGGGAACGTCCAAGGCAGAGTGAAACTTAGAAGCTATCTGTGGCAGACTCTGCTGATCACCCATGCAAAAGTCATTCCCCTCTTCTTCCTGCCTAAATGAATCCTGATTTTGTTTTGTTTCAGGATTGCAACTTGCTCAGTTAACAATGTCTTGTAGCATGTGATGGCCATGTGACCCAAGTCTGTCCCACTAGAATTAGCAGAAACATACTTATTGGGACTTCAGGAAAGTGCTTCTTTCCTGATTAAAAAATAAATAAATAAATAAAAACAAGAGGCAGGGAGAGGACAGATTTAATGAACAGAACACATTTTTTGCTCATATCCCTTCCCCCCTCTTCCTTCCTGGAAAAGGATGAGTTACCTGGAGGGGCAGTAGCCATTTTGGCACCATGAGGACAAATGTCACACGCTGAGGATGGAGGAGGAGCTGTGGACTGACCAGCTTTTGACTTCTTGTTAAGGAAGAAAATTAAAGCTTCAGTTTAACCATGATAAGTCGTATTTCTGTTACATCTCTAACTGATACATTATCTAATTCAGCCTGCTGATTTTATAGGTGTTGCCAAGTGAGGCTCAGAGAATCACAAGGACGTTCCCAAGTTCAGCAACAAATCGATAACTGAGTTGAGGCTAGAAGAGTCTCTTGACTCCAAGTTCAATGTTCTCACAAATTATTTTTTTTTGAAGAGTATGCAAATTATTTTCAAAGGGTTTAAGATAGCCAACTAACTCTGTTTTTCAAAGACTACCGATAATGAGTAAATCATAATGCATGCTAGTTTTTTAAATTTTGTTTTAATGCCAGAAGCAATCAGGGCATCATCATCATGATCATCAGTATCATCATCTTCTTCTTCTCATCAAGAACAACTTGAGCAACCCTGTGATTATAAGATAGCTAATTGCAAAGCTATAACTCAGGCTTGAAGATTCTTTAAAATTCTTCATAGGAAAGTCTAGACAAATGTGAGTGTGTGTGTGTGTGTGTGTGTGTGTGTTGTTTTGAGAGAGGAGGTGTGGGCAGGGAGGTCTTCATGGGTAGAAGGACAACATGTTGTTGAGGAGACAGCCACTAAAGGGTTAACATCATTTGTATTTTTGGATTCTGGGGCAATGCCAAATGTAATGTACTTTTCCCAGTAGTGTAGCATCATAACATTTGATTTCTGCTTGGCATGAAGCAATGCACATTTTGCTAAAATGACTTTGCACCTAACCCTCCCACGTTCACCTGGGTTAATGCCGGGCTGCTGTGTTAACAGCCGTCACGGGAGAGAAAGACTCAATCCAGTCGCTGGCATTTCAGCCGCACGTGTGGGCAGGTCGCTCTTGGCAGAGCTGCGGGAGCAATTGGGCCAT